TCTAACGGGGGACTGGCTCGCCGCGCCCACAGCGTGCCCGGTGCTCCTTCTGGGGCACCTGTCGCTGCCTCTTCTCCCCATCCACTGCCATGGGCGGTGAGGACGACAGTGGCTCACATTGACCACCCACTTGGGACGTGCCAGCGCTGTCAGAAGCATCCCCTCCGTGAGGAGTACAGTCGTTACTTTACAGACGGGAGACGAGGCACTGAGCAGCCAGGGACTTGCCCAGGGTCCATAGAGAACTGGGCGGTGGCAGCCTGACTCCAGTGTGTGCCCTCGGCCCGGCCCATCCCGCCTCCCGTCACGCTGCTCTGAGCTGTTGTCGAGCGATCTGCCGCCTTTCACCTGTGCCGCCCCCTGGGCCTGGCAGCTGCGGGCGGTGTGATGATGCGCCTCTGAGAGAGCAGGCCAGCGTGTGCCGCTCCGGCCTCTCAGCACCGATAGCAGATACCGGTGTCCCTGGCTTGTGGTCCTCCGGCTGCAGCCACCCTCCCCGGTAACGGGCTCCTCCGTCCCTGGCCATGGGCTCCACATTCCTGGTGCCACCTCAGCCTCAGGAGCAGCTGGCTGGGAGGCTGCCCAGGCACAGAGCGCGTCCCGGGCACACAGCTGGGCATCTGCTCCCACTGAACCGTGCTTGTCACCAGGAGAAAGCCGCCCCCAGGCCGCTGCTGGGTCAGAGGGACGCGCCGGCGCTGGCCATGGTGCTGACCGCATGGAGCACGCGCTGTGCTGACAGGGGCCAAGTTTAAGCCCCAGAGTTAGGTGTTTACGCAGAGTCGGCCTGGAGAAGCTCTCCTGTAACCCCTAGACCCACCCCCCGCCTCCTGGGGACACCACTGACTCCCCTCCAGCCTGCAGAGCCTTACTCGGCCCTGAGACGGTCCTGCGACGCTGCGAAGGGGGCAGTGTCTGTGAGGAATCAGTGATGCCCTCATCCGCGGGGAGAGTGCTGCTGAGGGCGGAGGGGCAGCCGCTTGCCCTCGGCCTGCAGAGCTGCGTTTGGCTGTGTGGCCGAGACAGAGGAGTGGGTGTGTCTAGCAGACCTGGGTCAGCCGGCTCTGTGACAGCAGAGGCCCCTAAACCTCTCCGCCACCCAGTCCAGGGGCCCTGGACTCTGCCCATAGAAGGCAGGCGTGGCCCAGGCAGCCCCCCTCTGCCCCCACCTGCTCCCCTCAACCTCGTCCCACTCTCCCCGTCTCTGAGGGTGGTGGTAGGGCCCTTAGCAGAGGCCGGGGACTGTTCTTCACCTCAGAGCAAGGCCATTGGTCTTCCTGCTGGACTCACGGCTGAGGTGGGACCCCCTACAGAGTGTGTGCGCCTGCGCCTCCTGACCTTTGCCCTCTGTTCCAGGGGGAAGAACGGGGACCAAGAACTGCTTCTGGAAGGCCTTGGACATATACTGTGGCCTGGAGGCGAAGCCGAGCGCCAAAGTGGCCCCAGAAGAGGAGACGGAGAAGAAGGAGGAGGAGTCCGGTGCCCCGTCCGAAGAGACAGTGCAGAGCGGCTCGCCTGAAGGGACTAAGCCCCACGAGGCGCTGGAGTCGCCGTTCTGGAGCAAGGTGGCCAACGCCAGCGGGCTCCTCCTGCTCCTCATCACGGTCCTGTGCCACGTCCTCTACCACTGACGTGGCCCAGCACAGAGCGCCTGGGGGAGAGGCCGACCCTGCCTCTCCCAGGCGCCCTCGTCCTCGTGGGGAGAGGCCCGCAGGGGTGGGGCCCCGGGTCTCACTAATGAAAAGGCCCCAGTCACCCAGCAGGTGCCACCAGCCGCAGGGACAGCGGAGTCCACTCAGTGCAGGGCCACGCAGATGAGAGCATCTGCTTCTGTACAACAGGACTCGTTCCTCCAAATGGCTCTCCTGCATAAACACTGACTTTCACTTCAGAGTTAATTTTGGCTTCTCGTCGCTAGATGCATTGGGTTTTTGCTTATGTTTATTTTACTGTCAGCATTTCCTTCCTATACCCAGCCTCCACTTGCCTGTTCTCTCCTCCCGGTTAAAAGTGCGGCCCGGCCGGCGGGCCAAGATGCTGTGTAGCGTGAGCACCCCCATGCCGGGCTCCTGCCGCAGTGTGTGCCCACGATGACCTCGCAGGCCCGCTGGGCGCATCTGCCTGCGGATGGGAATGTGGGCTCCTGCTGGGCCAGCGAGAGGCTCCCCTACCTACCCCTCCGCACCCTCTGACTGCTGCCGGCCCCTCCCAGTCTGCCAGCCGTTGGGATGTTATTGGAGTTGGGTCCAAGGGTTAGAGTCCCTTGAGCTGTCACACAGGCCACTCCTGGCTGTGCCTGCAGGGCTCCCGCCTAGTCCTCAGACCTGAATAAAGGGTTTGTGCCTTTAGGAGACGTCTCAGTGCCTTGAAGTGATTTGGGAAGACACACCACGTCACACCCTGAGGGTGCACGAGCACGGCCAGCTCCTCGTCCCCAGCCTCAATCTTATTTTTAAAATATATTTTTATTGATTTCAGAGAGGAAGGGAGAGAGAGAGAAACATCAAGGATGACAGAATCATGGGTCGCTGCCTTCTGCACGCCCCCTACTAGGGATCAAGCCCACAACCCGAGCCTGTGCCCTTGACCAGAATCGAACCCAGGACCCTTCCATCTGTAGGCCGATGCTCTATCCACTGAGCCCTCATTTAATTCTTCAGCTGCCATTTTTGAGTACCTACACTATGCCAGATGCTGTGAGCAGAGCACGTGGCCTGGGGGGAAACACCAGTGGACCTGGGATCACAGAAGGCCTGCAGGCCAGGCCCCTCCCGCCTAAACAACTGCCAGCGCTTCGCGTGGCCTGCTGCTCCGCCGGGGGTGAGAGCAGGACACAAGCCACAGAAGCACCCTGTGGAAAAACGAGAATCAGCCACATTTCAGAGGAGGAGCCCGAGGCTCAGCAAGGGACCCTCGTATGTAGGGAGCGGGGTGAGGCCGGAAGCAGCTCTGCCGACAGCCCGGCCTTCGCTGGCCCTCCGCGCGCTGTACGCTCAGGAGTGCTCCCTGGGCGCCCACCTCACCTCGGGTCAGCGAAGGCCTCCCAGGACCAGAGGAGGAGGCCCGTGAGCTGGGTGACAGCGGGGACAGCCTGGGGAAGGCAGCGAGCAGGCCTAGCCAAGCAGGGACCCTCGGAGAGGAGGCCCGGGTCCGGCAGGTGAGCCTGTGCAGGGTCGAGGGAGAAGAGCGGGCCTAGAAGAAGCACCGAAACCCTGGTTCCCAAAGGGTCCACCGGGGCAGAGCCCGAGCCTCGGGAGGGGCAGCTCCACGGGAGGCAGCGTCCACGGCTGGGCCACGGCACCCGTCCATCCCCAGGAGCACGGGTCCTGGCAGCCGGGAGGCCGCGCCCGTGGGTGGGACCTTGGGGAGACCGTGGGAGCAGAGCAGCCGCTGTGGTTGAGGCGCGGTGGGGACATGAGGAAGGGGCGCCCCTGGCACCCCTATTTTCCTAAAGAGCTGTTTCCCCTCGTGGGGCCTTTTTCTGAGAATGTGGTTTCCCCGGACCCAGCTGGGCCCAGCACCCAGTCCCTGCCCGGCCGGGGTGGCTCAGTGGTTGAGCGTGGACTTAAGAAGCAGGAGGTCACAGATTCCCAGTCAGGGCACAGGCCCGGGTTGCAGGCTCCATCCCCAGGGGGCGCGTGCAGGGTTCTCTCTCATCATGGATGTTTCTCTCTCTCTCTCCCTCTCCCTTCCTCTCAGAAATCAATAACTTTTTTTTTTAAAGCACACAAATGTGCCCTCTCGGACCTATTTAGGCCAATCCTCTCATCCCAGGGACACAGGCTTCTCTGTGTTTCTTCTTGGACAGCCAGGGTGCGCTCACTGGGAGTGCCGGCTCAGCTGGTGTGACTGGGAGGAGAGGGCATGCCAGGAGCCGGGGAGTCCTGTCCCACCAGAAACGTGGCTGCTGGGAGGGGACAGCATGAGGGAGACCCCGGTGGAGGCAGGGAGCCTCCCAAAGCTCCCGGGGGAAATGAAGGCTCCAGCTCAGCCCAGACGAATGAGTCCAGCCCTGAGCTAAGCCCGCGCCTGCAGCTTCAGCAGAGGTCAGAGCGGGCTGGAGACCAGCCACCCCGCCGAACCAGGCAGCCACGGCGGTGGGGGCGGGGGGAGATTACGGGGTCCCCTGCAGACCTAACCTCTCCCCTCCCCCCAGCTCTGCCGCCGCCTCAGCCAATTTCTCTTTGGGGGAGAAGCAAACCAGACCTGGGCCAGGCCGACAGCAGGGAGGCTGCGTGGGGGGTGCCGGGAGGACCTCCTGCAGGAGAGGAGAATGCGGCTGTTTGGGAGGAAGAGCTTAAGGAGCATCGCCCGAGGCTCATCCCTGGGAGGGCCGCGGACAGCGCACCCCCCAGCCAGAGCGCGCACTCCCGGTGACACCTTTTTTTTTTTTGGTTAATCCTCACCCGAGGATATTTTTCCATTGATTTTTAGAGGGAATGGAAGGGAGAGGGAGAGACAGAGAGAAACATCGATGTGAGAGACATCAATTGGTCGCCTCCTGCACACGCCCCAACCAGGGCCCGGAACCTGCAACCGAGGTGCATGCCCTTGACCGGAATCGAACCCGGAACCCGGGACCCTTCCGTGCGAGGGCCGAGGCTCCTGGCCAGGGCTGGGGTGACACCTTTGACCTTCCTGCTACCGGTGTGGGGAGGGGGCAGACCTGGCTGAGCAGGGCCGTGCCCAGCCACACCCATGGGCCTGGTCAGTCGGTGTCCAAAGCTGGGGTAATGCCTGGTGTCCAGCTGTGTTTCTCCCCCGCCCCAACTCCCTTCCCTCATGTGTTGTCCCTGGAAGGCTCAGTCCTGTCCTCTGCCACCTGTGACCTGGCCCTCGGGGCTGGGCATGTCCTCTTTGGCAGGAGAGAGAGAGAGAGAGAGAGAGAGAGAGAGAGAAAGAGAGAGAGAGAGGTGTGACCAGGCTTCATGAACATCAAGTGACGCAGACCCGAGAGAAAGCTACTGGGCCCGTTTATTCGGGTCTGGCGTAGGAGAGGCTCAGGGCTTCCACTCGATGACCTTGATGGCCACCTGGGCCGCCCGCTGCACAGTCTTGCTGGGGTCCCCCACTTCCAGGACTCGCAAGGCGTGCACGTGGGCCCTCAGGATCCTGCGGCCCTCGGGGGCCTCCGCCAGCATGGTGAGGGCCTTGATGGCGTTCAGGCGGGCCTTCTGCAAGGACGAGGCCAGCAGGCGCAGCAGCGAGTGGATGGCGTCCGCATCCAGGGCCGCGTACTTCCCTGTGGGTGACCGGCACCAGGCGTCCCCTCGGGGCCTCTGCCCACTTCCTCTCACCACCCCCTCTCCAGGCCTCCCCCAGCCTCCAGCCTGCCTGTCCTCCGGGGAGGCGCTCCCTCGTTCACCCCCACGGCCCCTGCCACCCTTCTGCCTCCAGCCCAGGGCAGGCCCCGTCCTCTCCTGCCCCTCCAGCCCCCTAACTGGCCTCTCCCCTTCCGTCCTGGTGGCTGTCCCTCGACCCCCCCCCTTACAAGGCAGCACAGTGGCCTCTTAAAAAGGAATGTCCAGCCCCGCTGGGCGTGGCTCAGTGGTTGAGCGTCGACCCAGGAACCAAGAGGCCACCAGTTCGATTCCTGGTTGTGGGCTCGATCCCCAGTGCGGGGCGTGCAGAAGGCAAGCCGATCCATGACCCTCTCATCACTGGTGTTTCTCTCTCTCTCTCTCCCTCTCCATTTCTTTCTGAAATAAAAGAAAAGCTGGGCAGGGTAGCCAACATGCTGGCAGACTGTGGTGACCCCCCCACACACACGCCACTCCCACCACCAGGCCCCCACCCGCCCACCTGAACCCCCAGCCCCGGCCGCCTCACCTTCCGTGGTCACCGTGGCGTACATGAGGGCGCCCGCGGCGTTGGCCTTCACCTCCTCCACCGGGTCCCTCAGCAGGTGCACCAGGATGGGGATGACGTCATGCCGCCACATCTGCTTCTTGCCCTCCAGAGGGATGCTGGGCCAGAGAGGGGACAGCTCGGGGGCTTTGCTCGGGTGGAGCAAGGGAGCAGGACCTCGGGCCAGCCGAGGGGACACCAGAGACAAGGCCTTGTGGTGGGACCATCTCTGTGGTCGGGTCTGGCCAAGGCCTGGGCCCCAGGGTGCAAGGGAGCATTGACGGGAAGTCGAGCCTCATTCCTACACCCAGACCATCTGGGAGCCTGGCCGGGGCCGCTAACGGCGAGACCACCCGGAGTCAGGGGGCGACGGAGCCTGGCCCTAAGGTATCACGGGAAGAAACCCGATGGATCCCAGCCCAACACAGAGGAGCAGGACCGGGGGGCGGAGAGGGGGGGCCACAGGGAGACTCGTTCTGTCTCCCTAAGAAGCCCAGCTGCCAGGACCGAAGCCACGCAAACAGCAGCCACCTCAGGCGAGATGACCTTTTTGGTCACTTGTTAAAATATATATTTGTATTCATTTCGTAGAGGAAGGGAGAAGGAGAGAGAGAGGAACATCAATGATAGAGAATCATGGATCACTGCCTCCTGCACGCCCCACACTGGGGATGGAGCCTGCAACCCGGGCCTGTGCCCTGACCGGGAATCGAACCGTGACCTCCTGGTTCATAGATCACCACTCACCCCCTGAGCCGCCGGCCTGTTTGGTCACTTTCAATCCTGCATCGCAGGACGCTGTGAGTGTGAAGTGGTGGGTTCCCGGGAGAGCCTCAGCCACGGGCCTCCGTGGGGAGGGGTCCTGTGCATGGTGAAGTGGGGAGCAGCAGCCCTGGCCCCTCCCACCCACTCTGTGCCAAGAGCACCCCTCCCTCCTGCACTGCAACACCAGGACAGTCTCCCCACGGAGAGACGTGCTGCACGTCTCGGTGCGGAGAGAGGGGGCAGCGCTCCCCACTGTGAGGCCGGCCAGGGCCACCCGCCTGCCTGCTCTGTCCGGTCCGCCTCACCTGACGGCGATGAGCGTGCGGGCGGCCTTGCAGCGGATGTTGTCGTTGGGGCTGAGCAGCTTCTCCTTGAGGAAGGGCACCACGCGGCTGTTGAGCGCCTCGGTGGCGTCCTCCTGCAGGCAGGCCGCCAGCGTGTCCAGCAAGATCTCCTGGATGTTCTCCTCCTCCCGGTGCAGCTTGCGCACCAGCAAGGGGATCAGGCCGCTGCTGACGATGCCCTTGGCCCCTGCGGGGACGGAGAGCGCACTGAGGGGCCGCCCTGCCCCCACCACGCCGGGGGCCACGCAGGGGCGAGGCCAGTCCTGCAGGAGGCTGCGGGTGGCAGGCAGGGGTGGGATCCACGAGGCCCCAGAGGACCCGGGAAGGTACCAGCCTTTGGTCGCCTATGACTGGGGGGCATCACCCTTTTATTAAGATATATATTGTTATTGATTTCAGAGAGGGGGAGAGAGAGAAACATCAATGAGGAGAGAGAATCATGGATCAGCTGCCTCCTGCACGCCCCCTACTGGGGATGGAGCTCACAACCTGGGCCTGTGCCCTGACCTCCTGGTTCATAGGTTGATGCTCAACCACTGAGCCCCTCAGGCCGGGCGTGTCCCCAGGAGGGGCTCCACGTGGAGTGGCTGCGGCACCGGTGCCGGGAGAAGCCCGAGGGGGTGGGCCTGCCTCAGGAGGGGCTCAGCCTGGCTCCTTCTGGCCCGAGTCCCTCCTGGGGAGTGTCTGCGGAGGCTGCCGGAGGAGGACCCAGAACCGGCCCGGTGGCACCCCTAGGGGCCCCGCTCCCACGTGCCCAGAGCAGCACTCAGGGGGCAGTGAGCAGGATGCCACCAGGGGGCACAACCCTTCCCCAGGGCGCAAGGGCGGCCATCACTGCCGCCCACAGCCCGCCATGCCCTGCCCCCCATCAGCTCCCACCGCAGCCCCACAGAGGCGGCCGGCCGGGCAAGCACCTCTCTGCCGCCTCCCCAGCTAAACCTTCTAATTTACTCCAGAGACAAGTAAACAGGTTCATTAGCCTAAAGGTCTCCAGTGCCAATTAGCACCAGGGTTTCCTCTTTGAAGGCATCCCCCGTCTTTTTCTCAAAGGACATCAAATGGCAGCCCAGGGTGAGGGGTGCGGTGAGAGGGGTCAGCGGGCGGCAGAGCCAGCAGCGCCGGGGGCGGCCGATTCTCGCTGGGTGGGGAGCAGCCATTTGTTCGTGGGTCACAACGCCAGGAAGAGCAGCTTTCCTGATTGCTGAGTCCGGGGCTTTTTACGATTTACCAAACACGGATCCAAAAAAAAAGCTTAAGTTGGATCCTCACTGTGTCCAGCTGTGTGACCCTGAACAAGGCGCTGAGCCTCTCTGAGCCTGGCTTCCTCATGCCTATCTGGTGCCGGGGGGGGAGGGTGCGATGCCAACGGGGTAGCAGGTGGGAACGGGCTCTGTGCAAGGACTGTCGCCGTAGGCCCAGGACATCGGGCCCAGCACAGCAACAGTCCCCCGAATTCCACCAACTCAGAGTCCCAGCCGGAAGCAAGAGCCTGAAGGGTGTGTGTGGGGGGGGGGTGGATACACAGGCAGAAGCTGTACAGTCCCTGCCCACAAGCCGCCTCTCTGGACAGACCCTGCCCGATGCACCCCAAGCCCTCCTGCTCCTGCTGCGCTTCCCCTGCAGGCCCCGCCCGCAGGCTCCCGACCTGCCCAGGCCTGGGTCCCTCTCAGCCCAGCTCCCAGTGGAGAGGCCCCAAGTCCACTTTCCAAGAAGGACTCTGCTGGCACCTGAGCGAGGCTGGGGGGGCAGGGGGGGGGGGAATTTGTGCATCATCATCCGGTCAGGGCTTGACTGTGGCTTCCCGTGCCATGGGGTCTGGCCTTCTAGGGAAACCCAGGGACAGCAACTGCTGCCGGAGCCACTGGGGGGAGGGAGGGGTGCTTGTGGGGAGGCGGTCGAAGTCAGAAAGTCGCGATATTGGCCCTGGCCTATTTAGCTCAGTGGATAGAGCGTCGGCCTGCAAACAGAGGGTCCCGGGTTCGATTCCGGTCAAGGGCACGTACCTCGGTTGCAGGCTCCTCCCCGGCCCGGGGCCTTGGTCAGGGCACATGCAGGAGGCAACCCATCGACGTGTTTCTCCCACATCGATATTTCGCTCTGTCTTTCCCTCTCTCTTCCACTCTTAAAAAATCAATGGGAACATATCCTCGGGTGAGGATTAAAACAAATAAATAAAGTTGTGGTACTGGAGGTCGTCACCACCCATGCTCCCACCTGGATGAGGAAACCGAGGCCCAGAGAGGCCGCTCACGTGCCCAAGGCCACACAGTGGCCAGGCCGGCCGGGCCCCCGGCTCCCCGGGCCTCCTTCCTCGGGCGTTTGTCTTGGGCCTCCGCCTGCAGAGTGCTGAGCGCGGGGACCGGTTCGTTTTGAGACGGAGGGAGAAAATTAAAAATAAAACGCGTGCCGGGTGTGCCTCGCTGCTCATTCACTTAGCTGCTTCTCAGCTAAAAGGAGAGTCGGGCCTGGCTATTTATAACTAACCCAGATCCACAACGGCGTGTTCAAGTGTGTGTGTGTGGGGGGGGGGGGTGCAGAGACCCCGGGGAAACAAACTGGAGGGGCCCAGCTGGCCCCCCACAGCCTGAGAACAGGCCGGCAGGGGGTGGGGGGACAGGACAGGTGGGCCACGCAGCCACGTCCGCCAGCAGGGGACCATCGCCAGAGGCCCATAGGCCGCATGCCACCACCGCCCGCCCCTGGGGGAGTGGGGAGACAGGGGGAGCGTCCGCGAGGACCTGTCCTTACAGCACAGGTTGCCACGTGTGTAGATGAGGAATTCCAGGGTCCCGGGGACCTGGATGGGCAGGGAGGGAGGCTCGAGGAGCTGGGCCTCGGCGGGCGGAAGGGTGAGGGCACGAGCCACCAGTGTTTGGGGAGGCCCTGGTTCAGCCTGGCTGGGTGCGTTCAGCGGCTGATGAGCCAGAAAGCTCTGCTGGGATTGAGGGTCACCACGTCCACAGGTGGACCCCCACTTCGGTTGTGGTTTGGGGCATTTCCTGGGGGAGGGGTTCCCGCTGCCCCCGCGGGCTCTCCTCAGCCCACTGCCCCTGCTGGGTTGGCGAGATGCCGCCAGGTGGGTTCGCCACCAGGGCCCTACCCCTCTTCCCACCACAGAGACCCAGATGTTGTCTCTGGTCCTGTTGTCCTGGCAGTAAGGACTCACCACGGAGCGCTGGCCCTGCCTGGGAACCCCACATCTGTGCCAGCACCCTGGGCCCACCTCGACTCAGTGACTCGCCCATCCAGCTTTCGCCTTGTATGGCCCCCCTGCTCTGAACCCCTGACACACCGACCCCCACCCCTGTGCCTGCCATGGCTCCTGGGGACCCTTCTCCGTCCTCGGCTTACTCAGCCTCGCTCCCCAAGGCACGGGACATGGCTCACCGTGTCTTCCTTCTCGAGACACGCCCTGCCCAGGGCTCTGGGGCCCTTCATGCCCTGTTTCCTGGCCACCTCTCCAGCTGCTCCTCCAACCGCGTAGCCAGCACCACCCCTTCCTCCGGCACCTCCTACGGCCCCCTGACGTCTCTGCTTTATTTTCTCGGGACTGACTATTTGTCATCTTTGTCATCTGGTTCTGCATGTTAGGACAACTCATACGGTGGGAGCATGCCTGCTGTAAATGTAAAACAAAATATTGTCTTCCTCCCTCTCAAATTTAAAAAAACTAACCAGAGCCCGGCTGGCATAGCTCGGTGGTTGAGCATAGATCCATGAACCAGGAGGTCAGGGCACAGGCCCGGGTTGCAGGCTCAATCCCCAGTGTGGGGCGTGCAGGAGGCAGTTGATCAATGGTTCTCTCTCCTCATTGATGCATCTCTCTCTCCCTCTCCATTCCTCTCTGAAATCAATATATATATATTGATTTAAACTAACCTTAAAACTCTCCAGTGGGTCTCAGGCCAATGTCCCCAATTCTACACACGGGCCACCCTCCCGGCATGACTGTGCCCAGCGCCGCCGCAGCCTAGTGTTAGCACATCCTCACACGCTCACTGGTCCTCTCTGGGGTCTGCCAGGCCTCACGCCCCTCCATGCCCAGTGCCTTCCCACCTTGGAACATGCCTCTCTCCTGCCCCCAGTCACAGGCCACTGCCCCTCCTGCTGTCCCACTGCCCAGTGCTTCCCCGGCCACAGGCCCCCGGGCCCCTGGTGGGTCTTCGCTATCAAGCCCTGAACAACTGTCATGGTGGATTATGTCCTGCTGTCCGCCTCTGCCCCGCAGACAGGGGGGTCTAGCAGGCAGGGCTGGGTCTGTCAAAACCCTAGACCTGTGCCTGGTGCAGAGGCCATCGATAAGGGCTGCCGTGTGAAGGAATTCCACTGCAGAGGAATCACACCACAGAGGGCACAGGATGATGCTGATGCCACGGTCGGTGTCCAGCGGGCAGAGCCAGATGCCCGCCTCTGTCTCCCGGCCACAGACCTGGGCTGGGGCCAACACCCCATCTACCTCTGCCAGCGGTCAGCGCCAGTGCTCCCATACCCACGAGTGGGTGCTCCTTGTAATATGACCATGACAGCGTAAACGTAAAGCGACAAGGTCAGAGTTGGCTGGGAGCGCCTGCACTTCACCGGCGATGCTCTAGGAGGGACAAAGCTCCGCTAGGATGGTGGAGAGAAGACAGCATTTAATTTAAGCACAGGAGTGGGGCGGGGGGACTCCAGGCGCTGAGGCCCACAGATGGGCTCTCGGACACTGAACACAGAACTGGGCAGGCTGCCCTCGGGGGCATTTTGCTGAGCAGCATCCCGTGCCTTCTGCACGGGGACCCCGGCCCTCACTGGGCTGGCTCCCTCCCACCTCTCTGGTGGGGGCGGGGGTGCTCCTGGGCCCTTCTCCCTCCCCGCCTTCCGAGGCAATCCATCTTCCGTGGTCAGGACTGCCAGGGGCCCTGAAGAGCTGGGTGGGCGAGCAAAGACGACTGAGCCCATCGCTGCACAAGCCTCGCGGGCGCAAACCTTCAGGATGTGCACGCACCTTCCACACATTCTAGCGGGTTGTCGCGACAAGTCAGGGAAGCGGGCGCCACTAGCTCCACTTTGTAAAACGGGCCCTGATAGGTCAGTCGGTGGCCCAAGGTCGCGGAGCTCAGCAAAGGCCAAGCTGGGTGTGGATTGGGGCCGGCGCGGGGCAGGGGCCATCGGCCGCTCCCAGGCTCGGTCTCCCGATCCGCTAGAGGCAGGGCCACTGGGTGGGCGCCTCGGGGCAGCCGGGTCCTAGGGATGCCGGCGCCCGCAGCGTGGACGGGGTGGCGGCGCGCGCCCAGCTGAGGCCCCGCCCCTTCCGGCCGCCATTGGGCCGCGGAGGCGTCCATCAGCCGCTCGTACCCAATGAGCAGCGATCCAACTCTGCTGGCGGGGCGGCGGCGCCCGGCGCGTGGTCA